GGAAAGAGAAGAACTGTTTTTTAGGAAAGTGGTATTCTCCGTGGACCCCCACCTTATTGAAGGTCTGACAAAATAAACTAAGGGAAATCCAATATTTTTCCCCCCAAAGATCAAATGTGTTTTTTTTTTTTCCTTCTGACAACAGAAGAAAAAAATAGGCTATTAGTAGAATTATTGCTATAGTACATTATCCATTCACTGGTAATACTGTGTAAGATGGAGCAAACAGGAATAGTTTCAGAGTCTAAATTTATCTGTAGGGAGCTGCAATTCAGGGGGAAAAAAATAAGAAAGAGAAGTTGTGAGGAGTAGTGTTATGATCCTTTACAACGGCACTTCTTAAGTCTAGTACTATTATCTGAAATCAAACATTTCAGACAAATGTGTATCAGCAAAACATCAGCAATTAGGACTTGCAATGCAGATCTTTCAAATGACTTGCATCTACTAATTGTTTATCTGTCAAGAAAAAAAATCCTCTATTTCCACCATTCCCTAAATTTATGATCTTGAATAAGTAGTACTAAATATTTCTTATCCTTTGTCCTCCTTTGTGTAAAACAAAACATCTTACAAGGGTTCTTATGAAGACAACATATTTGCATCCAGAATACTCGGTAAAATGTAATATACACTTTTTGTTGTCTGTTTCTATTCACTTAATTGTTTGTTTTCATAAAGCTGGAGAATGTATGAAATTCTGTGAATTAGAGGGTATTCTTTAAGATAATAACTAGTAAGTAGGTAATAAGTAGTTAGATTTTGGGTATGTTATTCGTATTCACACTTCTTGTGAGACAGCAGCCAGAACACTGTGCTTAACTTGCAAAAAATATTGGGAAAAAGAGGGTATGAGAAAGTGACAAAGAGAAAGTTGGGTTGTGGATTATTTTGCTGCTCTTTTGGTGCATCAAGGACTGGTCACTGATAAACCTGATGTCCCCATCATGTTTATTTACAGTTCTCATTGCATGTGGTGAATAAGCAGTACTGATTTGGGAAGGCATTTGACTTTGATATGAACTTGCCTCTGTGTTCATCTCAGAGCTTTCGCCTGCCTAGCAGAGTCTTATTTAAGCTTAGTAGCAGTGTGGGCTTTAAACGTCAACTTCAAGGAGATTTCTACCAAAAATCAGGCATTTTCAGCTTTCCCTCCCCAGGTAGGCTGCGATCACTGTGCTTAAAACTTCATACCAGCAGCAGCTGTCACTTCCCTGTGTTATCGTTCACATCAGTCCTTGCACGTGCCTGCCTCTGTGGAGATACTTGCGCAAAGCTGAAGAAGATGCGGCCGAGGTGTTGGGTGCTGAGCATGTAGGCCATGTAGAAGGAAGGAGCTGCCCGGCTGTGTGTCAACAAAGCAGTGTCAACACGTGACAGCTCACATTTTGAGACTGCAGCACTTTTTGGAAACAGTTTTTGTTGCTGTTCGCTTGTGTAAAATACCTTCTTGTTGGTGTCATGTAAGCGTAACATTAGCCTGAAATGGTGTTATGTTAGAGGAATTTATTGTTTTGTTTTCTCTGTGACAGAACATTTTTATCTGGCCGCTATATTTTGGTTGCATATATACTATATTCAAAAAAATCACGTTAATATCATTTACCTAAATTCATTTACATTAGAAAATTAATTAATTTTAAAATAAAATGACAATCATTTTACTTATTGCAATGTTAAAATGGTCCTAAACACCAAGATAAGTGTCCATTTCATCTATATTTGAAAACTTGAGCAGTGAAGTACATCATTCTCACATTAAGGTTTACATGAAATGTAAAATGATTCTTCTTACGTACTAGAACAGTTCTCTGTATTTGTATGCAGTGGGTTTCCTATGAAAATATCATAATATATGAATGCAAAGTGTGAATTCCAGAAAAACTGTTAGAAGTGCTGTTATTTCTGAAGATCTTGTCAAAATTCTCGTGACCTAACTCTGAAACTGGATCCAGAAAGAAGAAAGAAAGCTACAGTATGTTTGTCATTAACTTGCAATATTAGAAAGTACACCAGAAGCTTTTTTCCGATTCTCATCCAAAATCAGATTGGAAATTTTGGAATAATTAAAAGCTTTCAAGTCATCCCTGAATTGTTAGTCTCTGCAATGCAAAGTTTCTATGCCATGTTTTCAGCAAGTGCTACCTAAACTTAAGAGTTCTGAGAGATAGTATAAACATAATGTATTTTTGTCTTTTGTTGTTGTTTTTCCTCATTTTGGCTTTGGAAAATTGGTGCATAGAACATGCAACTGCAATAATAGAATTTGAAGCCAGTTCAGCTACTGAATTTTTCTTCTTGGTCTATTCACATGGTAGGACTCACAGAGGCAGGTTAGAAACTTTTCTTTCTGAGTCACCTCACAGACATTTTTGCTACAAAATTTTACCAATATGAAAGATTTTGCTATGCTGCTAGGGTTCACTGTAATGTGTGCAACATGTGCTGCTTTTACTGCTATACTTGTAGTGCGTCAAGCTGTACAGCAAAAGTGTGTAGATGCTGTAGGTAGGTTGTGCTCTTCCAGATACTTTACCCCGTTCTTGGGAGGCTGAGAGCCATGTTACAGAGGCTCTGCAACTAGCTGTGCAGATCAGAGGCTGGTGGGGAGGATTGTTTGGATAATGAGGGCGGCTGTAGATCTTCCTCACTAAACTTCTAACAGATTTGAAGTTGCCTCCTTGTGGAAACATTTTGTGATATATATGAGTAAATTAATATAACACACTTCTTTGTAACTTCGTCTTTTATGTTTACTTTGTGATTTCTTTGTTAGTAAGCACTATTCTAAACCATAATGTGAGCAGGAGGGTGAAGCTTGGATTGGAAGGCTTCTGAAAACTGTTCATGTGTCAGTGGAGGTGCTGCTCAGCTCTTTTTCAGAGAGCAACTTAAAGGATTTGTATATCTGACTTCATACTGTTGTGTTTGTCCAGTAATTATAATCTGTTAAAATGCATTATTCTGTAGCATCAGTTCCAATAGACCTGTTACAGTGCTTCACACATTGCCGATAAAGATAGACTGCTAGGATTGCACAGCGACAGACAGGAATTGGTATGCAAGGGATGATATTGAAATAAGGCTCATCATTATTTGCGCCCCTTTAATGGCATACAGAGAATGCAGTGCAGGCTGTTTTGGAAGGCTTGAAATGCTCAGGCTTTTAACGTCATTGATTTTCTTCAGTAATGCTAATGTTATTATTCATCTAGAAATAAGGAAGATCCACTATACTTCACTCAAATTGTTTCTGCACCTAATCAGGATTTTAATCAACATGATTATCTGATGTGTAGGTTAAACAAGTCATTTTGTACATAAAAAATAAACAACTACAAATATCTGTCTCTTCTGCTTTCCTTTGGAAATGTAGATAATCTAAAAGTAAGTAGTGGACATCCACGGAAGCTTTGCAAAAGCAGAGAAGGGTAGCATTATTTTGCTTCAGGAGTTATCTCTGTGAATTCAGGCAGCATTGTGCTCTAGTTCTATGAACTTCAGGCTATGCTCGCAGATAACTGTATTTGCTGCAGTTTTATCAGTGGGTCTGATTGGTCTGCGAAGCCTCCAGCAAAAAAGTATTGTGATTCAAATGTATTTGCTACCTGCAGTTCACCTGGCTGACTTTGTCAGTTGCAGTCTCAGCGCTGATCCTGCTGTCCAGATATTCACAAAAATACGAGCCTTCATCACAGTTTTATATGGTGAATAAAACTAGGTGTCAGTCAGCTCTGATGCCAGTACCTTTTAAAGATGCATTATAGATGTTTGTTTGAAAAGGACATACTGCCTGAATGCTGAGTATGTTACTGTTAGAAAAATGATTCCAAAGCACAGTTTAGACCATTGAAAAGTCTCCGGCAATTAATTGAATATTTCCTTTCCACTTGGTTTAAAAAGGTCAGCTCATCTTTGTGCCAGTTTTTAGATCTTTCCACCATTATGCTTTAATTTCCTAGACAGAGTGCCAAACATTTGGAAATGCAGTTTCCAGATCTGCATCTTGTGGATATCAAATGTGAGCATGCAATGGAGTGATAAGTTAATAAACAGAAGTCATTCATATTTTGTAGGGCAGATATTGGCAGATCATTAGTAAACTGCGAGTGGCTGCCATTGCATTGTGTGTGCATGAGTACTTACACAAAAGATTATAAGCATTTATAGGTGATTCAGCCTTATGCCCAGCAGAAATGTATTCTAGGAAGAGTGCTAGAAATTAAAAGTAATTGAGGTTCCAATACATGACAGCAACAATTTGACTTCCCTCTTTGTGGCGATCTCCTGCTTGTAAATTGCCAGGAGCAATATTCTTTACATGCTTATTCCAGCTGAAGGATTTGCAAAGGTAGCTAATTCCATCCTCTGATTCACTTCTTAAAAATGTGTTTTTTCTTTTCCCTTCCAAAAATATAACCTGAATTCTTTTAATTTCTCATGGTGTTTATTCTGGGGGTTCGTAAAATCATGAGTAGTACTATCACAACTGTCATGAGCGTTCCTTCTTGTACTGTTTGTAACACATTCCTGTTTTGAAGCTTTGTATATTTCTGAAGGGGTATTGAAGTCTGCTAAAATTGTCTCTAATGTGCTTGGAAATTGCGTGTAAGATGCATAAAATAGTTTCTTTATGCTGCATGTATGTCTGTGCATGTGTGAAGATGTTTGTGCACATAGAACAATGACAAAGTATGCAAGTTGCATTTACATTTTTTAATTAATTGAGATTATCTATTTGATACATACATGTGTATCTGTGCAATCTCTAGCATCCTTCCTCTCAACTTAAACGTGTCTTATTAGCAATTCATTATGCTTGTATAAAAGAAGACTAGACACTAAGCAATTCTAATTTGCCTTCAGAACAATGACAACAACATTCTTAGAGAATTACTTTCTGTATTTGGTCACAGCAGGTTTTTTTTTCTTCTTTTTCTTTTTTGGTTTACTGCCTACCATGCAATGACAAAGGTTTATTTTCCCTTTGTTCTTTTCAGAGTGCTGCAGCAGCTCCCAGTCCAGTGCTAGGAAACATTCCCCCGGGAGATGGCATGCCAGTAGGTCCTGTACCACCGGGTTTTTTTCAGGTATTCAGAAAAATTATAATTACAGGAATTTTAGGATAGAAAATCCTTCATAATAATGATTTAAAAGTCTTTAGAAAAGTCCTGCTTGTAAACTGTGTCTCACTATATGGTACAATACTTGAGAGTTTTTCTTTAACAAAAGTAAATAGGTAAAAAGGAAGGGCTCTCTTTGACTGACAAGTATTCTATTACTAAAATAGTACAAAACATCTAATTTCAGAATTTCGAGGATAAGAAATGGTACCCATGTGTGAGTGAAGAATGAAATTGCTTGGATATGATTTTATGACAGTTTATTATGATAAAGTATTACAATTGCATTAGAATTTTTTCACCCACTTTTAGCTCTATGATAAACCTGTAGACCAGATTTGAAGATGTTCAACTTTCAATGGGAATTAGACCCAGGCAATTAGGAATATCTCTCTGAACATCCCTCTGCATTGAAAATCTCAACATTAAAGTCTGAAAAACAAGCCACGGATTTATACTGAATGTCACCTCTAGTAAATTTTGTCGTAAATGTGTTGAAACACCCACTTAATGCATTGGGCAGTAATGATGCAGAATGTGATGATGGGCAAAATGGCAGCTTCTGTTGCATGGCCAACCTGACAGCTGTGGTCTGAGGTTGGACAGCTTGCATCTCCTCAGCAAAGTTTAGTTGTTTCTCTCCTAACTGGCAAACTGTGGCCTTGGATCTGTAGCAGCAAATGCTGACGCTTAAAAAGTTCATTAATAACAGAGGTTTCCACCTCACAAACTTCATCTTATGATGGGAGGGAACAATCCAGATTTCCGTCATTGTGGTGTGGGGAGAAAATCGAGATAGTAATCTTATGTTCAGTTGAGAGCTGGTGATGAAATCCAGGTGGAGACAAGTGTCTCATGCCTTCTCCCCAGAGATGTGTAGTCATTTCATCTGGGCGAAGAAAAAGAAGAGATGTTTTACTTAGCAGCTTCCTATTATTTTGGCTACATGGTGATCATACAGAAAACTGGGGGGAGATATCAGCCCAAAGTATACTTAGTTTTTAGGCCTGTATGTGAGTTGCAACATTATTTATATGGTGCTCCATTTCCCATAGTCAAAGAAAGAAAAAATGTTTTATGTGGTGTTGATATTTATCTAAAGAGATCCTGAACATGGCATGAAAATGTTGCTCCCTTGATCAATTTAAAAAAAAAAAAAAAGCTGTGATTTTCCATGCATGCATGAAAGGGCATGTGTAAGTAAAGTACAAAATATTTTACTGTTGCCAGTGACAAAATCCTCAGGAGCTGGCAGAAGTGATTGCTTTGTTTCAGGTTTTTCTGTATTAAACAACTGGTCAGGTACAGTCTTCTAAACAGACTTTTTTTTTTTTTTTCTAGTTTGTATATTTATATAAATATTTCACTTTTTCTTACTTCAATCACCCACTCCAGACATAACGCCAAAAGAATTGAAGCCTAGTGTTTTTTTTTTCTTTTACTCTTTCAGAAAATAAATTAAGTAGACAAAAAGGCACAGATGTGACAAATATATGAAAAATAGAGGACAGAATAACAATTTAAAAAGTTTTACAGGAGAAGGGCATGGGATTTTGCTTTGCATTAGATGAACATGAAAATACATCTATCCATTGTAGATCTTTAAAGATATAAGAAAGATAGAAAATTAAGTATTGGTAAACTTTTTCTCATGTCAGTATCGTATGTTCAGTCCAAAATAGCTCTGAGGGACATGTTTTAGTGATAGGACTCCTTAAGTCAGGTCAGTGTTTAGATTTAATGATCTTGAAAGTCTTTTCCAACTTATATGCTTTCATGATTCTGTGATTATTTGAGATGCTTGCAGCCTTTTTGCAAGGCCTGGGATTAAAAGTAAACAGAGGAAAATCCATTTGCAATGTAACACAGTTTGCGACATTAATCAGAGCTATAGTAACTCAGCAGACATCTGGTGACTCCTGCAAGGGATGTTCCACGGGCTGATCTGCACAGTCCAGTTTGGGGTCTTCCTGATAGCATTGTACACCTCTTTCTGGAACTGCTAAATCTTTGTCATCATGTGTCTCTGTAATATGCCATACTAAAGACTAATTCTTTAATGTCGTAGTTGACAGTGATCTACTTGCCTTTACTGAATGGCCCAGTTAACAAATCAAGCATTTTCCCAGAAACTTCTCATTTTCATGTAGTCATCTGCTTATGACTGTATATAAAGAAATAGCATTAATATGGGAGCAATCCCAACAAACAGAGCCAGGCCAAAATGAGGTCAGTTACATAAAGGTGTGCTGAAGCACTAAGGTGTGTATAAAGCAAATATGTAAGACAGACCGCAAATGTTGTGGGCTTGGAGGGAGTGTAGTCAAGAAGCAGCTAGTATCTGGTTGTAGTTCCTCTGAGAGCTGAATGTTACCAATGTGAATTTATATGAGGACAGGAGAATATATTGGCAGACAGCAGTGAATATGAACGTAAAGAAATGGAGGAACATCACCATCTGTTGCTGTAAAAAGCAGGTGAAAAAGCCAGTGAAAGAAACTCCTGGTCAAAACTTTGTATTGTTTCATAGTTGTCTTCTCCCTAGTACATCTTTAAACAGAAAATCAATCTCTATATGTGCTTCTGCAGTTTCACTTGTCCTTACAGATCGTATGAATAAATGAAATCACAGAAAACATGTTCATCTATCTTTGAATACTGGCAAACTGCAGTCCTTTTTCTATGAACTGCTCATCTTCTGTCAAGGAATTTGCGCCCAGACCTGCAACTCACTCCTGGATTGTGAAAGTGAAGAGTTTGAGTTTTTTTGAATATCAGAAGATTATAGAAACAGCAGAAGAATGGTACTTCTGTCTGTATTTAGTTCACTAAGAGTTTGCACTGCAAAAATATTGTAACAACTCAACTTTCTGCATTCTAAGCTATCTGGGAGACCATTCAGATAAAAGTTGCCTTTCATTACTTTTGTGGAAAAAACATTTTATTTTTCCTCGTCTAAAGCTGTCCACAGCTACTGCCTTCCAGCTATGCTTGGCTAGCTCAGGTTTGCTGGATGTCTTCAAGTCAATTCATTTCTCATCAGTAGTGGAGCTCTGTTTCCATGTGCAGCATGAAATGCTGGCTGGGGTATAAGCAGAATGATTCTCTTGATTCAGTTCTTCCCATGCGAAGTTGGGCAAGGTGGCATTTGGGATGATAGGAGTCAGGAAACTTTATCCAAGCTCCTACTTCCTACTGCTGGCCACTAACATTACTTCTGTATCTCTTTAAAGAAGACAGTAATCTAGTACAATGGCATGGCATGTGGAAGTAGGTCAATATGGGAGCAGAGTCATTTTCAAACAGAAAAGCCACTAAAAACTCTGCTCTCTAAAAGTGAGGTTTTCATGTGTGTATAGGCCACTGCTGCTGACATTACTCAGCAGTCTGTAATTTTATGCCTGAACTGTGGAGTGGAGTTCTGAAGAAAGAAGCTGAATCTGCATTGTGCTTCTGTGTTTGCATTTTTTGTATTTTCAATTCAGGTGACAGAGTTGAGCACTACAGTGCTGAAAGCATTACAGTGATACAGTGGAAGAAAGATAGTAGTTATGTACAGCTATTAGCATGGACTATACTTCATCTTTTTAAGTGTGGTTTAAAATGTCAAAAATAAGTTTGGAAAGTCAAGAAACACATTTATGTGGATCGAGGATGTGATTCAATTTCACCTATTGGTAGGCATGTATTTTAATGTAACATTTAATATCATAGGTTTGTATTTTTTCATCCAGATGTCCTCATCTTCCTTCAGCTCCTAAAGTAGGTGATATTCTGGAAATAAATAGGGATTTTACAGTACTGAATTTCCTGCTGCTTCATTATCAGCAAAACTGAATATGTGATGCTACAGGAAGACAGAAGAAAAGATTTTGTGATGTAAAACTCAAATCTCAATTAAAAGAACCTAAAGAGATTTTGGAGTTGACTTTAATCAGGCTGAAATAAAGGGAATTTAGATTAAATGAAGTTCAGTAAGTGGGATGTCAGGAGGATCAGCACTGCTGGTAAGTTGCTTTCTTAAATGTGGGGCCTCAGAGGAGAAGTCAGAGTGCTAGATTTGATGTTAAAATAACCGTGCAAATCACTCTTACGGTATACTCATTTTCCTGGGTAGCAATGTTTCATGTGTTTCCATCTATAAGAATGGGAGAAAATTCTTTTAAAACATTATGAATTCCTTAGGCAATAGAAAAATGTCTTATACTAAATAACTAGATGACCACACAAGCGTCTGAAATTCTCAAGCTACAGTCCAAGTTCCAGAAATAAGTCAACAATTCACCAATTTTCCTCTCAATACTATGTCCTGAATTTGGTGATAAGATGTGAGCAGAACAGTGAGCTACTATGTTAAAAACATAAAATAATTCTGCATATTTTCCATGCCATTTTTTAGCAGCAGAGTTAGTCTTCCATGAGCTTCTTCATATGGCCGTCCACAGAGATCAACGTGACCCAGTTTTTACGCTTTTTTCTTTTCGAGTCCTATCTGAAAGTGAATTAGCAGGACTTCTACTGGACTGAGTAAGATTATTTATAAGATTATTTACCTTCAGATTTGGCCATTTGAGAAGACATATAACATTAGCAAATTTTACACAAGTTGTCACTTAAAATGAGTAAATTAATCCACTTGTGATCCAGAAGGATTAGGTAATAGAATTCAAAGATAAAATGATTTTAATATTTGGTCTTACTTACATTTTCTGTTTTGGGGTCCACATTTTTCACAAGAGATAGTCCCGTGCAGTGCAGTTGATTTTGAAAGTTGTATTGGGTAGAGGTGCAGTACCTCTGTTACAAATAATGCGCTTTCATCAGTGTGTACACAAATGCCACAGGACAGTTTCGGAGCTTGTGTTCAGCAGAATATTTTAATTTTTGAACAGCATGTAAAGTGTTGGTTCTGTGTGATTTTAATGTGCCATTTAGTTACTTATTAAGTTCTAAAGCAGGTTAACACA